TTTTCAGAGAAATTGGTGCTCATGATTGAAAACAGGAAACATACAAAAACATAAATGTAAATGACCTGTAATAGATTCCACCCAGTAGTAGTAAATAAAGATTCTTTGCACATTATTCTACCTTTGGAGGGTTATATTTTGAGATTATATTGATTGTGCAAAAAAATCTTGCTTCTTTTCACCACTGACAATGACCTCTGCCATCCTTAAAACTGTATATAACACATCCCACAGTACTTGACATTCATGTGTCTTTCCTTTTAACTACTGCATTCATTCGGTTGTCCATTTATCCATCAGCCACATACAATGTACCATCTATTCTGCTTTTATTTTCTTTCCCTGCTGAATTATTAACTTCTTGTGAGGAAAGACTTTTTTTCAATTTCCTAAAACCTCTGAGTATAGAGTGAATTAAGTAAGAAGTGTTTCATAAATACTTGAGCATTAAATTTATCACAATTTCATTTTTCCGCAATTTTTGTAAACACTTTCAAATTATGCCTCAGTCTGCTGACTGCTGGTCACCTTTTAATGGGAAGGTGGAGGTCCTTAATAACTGTCTCATGTTTCCTTTTTAAAACTGGAATTTTGCCCAATTAACAGGAGCGGGGCTAATGGTTTGTGGCAGCATAGGGTGGACAAGCAGTGAGCTGGAATCGGAACCCAGTGGAAGACTGGCCAGGTCCCGGGGCAGAGTGGGTGATAAAGGTAGAGAGGCAGGTACTGAGGGACGTGGCTGTGTGCTGCAGGGCACACGTGACAACTTCTGGAGGAGACGCACGTAGCAGGCGATGCGGGGAGTCTTGTGAGACAGAAAGAGAATACGGACAGGCCAAGGAGCAGTGAACCGGGGCTCAGGTGCCCCAGAGGCCTCACAGGCGTCTGCTCACGGGTGGAAAACAGCATTCCCGGCTACAGAGGGGAGCAAGAGAAGCAGTGGGACAGCCTAGGCTGTAATGAGAGGGGCGCCGTGCTTCCGGAAGCCGACGCCTCCCCAGGCTGCCAGCCGCTCTTCTCTGCCTCTGCCTTCACCGTTTTCCAGCAGGGACCCAAGGGAATGTTTTATTCGTTACGAGAGACTGGCATATGATCCAGAGCGAGGCTCTTCTCACTTCATCCCTCACTCTGAGAACAAGTTTTCTGTGACGGAAGAGAAAAGGGAAAGGTCAAATTACTCATTAATCTGATGTTTATCTCCGCGGGCGTCTCCGTTTACCCATTCTTCTCCTCCCTGCGTAGCAGCCACTAGGCGGGGCAGTGAGCAGCTCCGGGATTTGTAGTTTATATGCCACGGCAGGGGCAGCGCTGGGATTGTCAGCACGTGTATTCTCGGTAGTTCACCATGCTGTCCTCTAACTAAAGATATCCTGTTATTTCAGTGGCCCTCTCTAACAAAGTGCTAGAGAGCTGCTGGAGAACACCTCAACTTACATGTTGCTTGGAGAGGAGCCAATTCGTTTCAACAGAATAAGAGCTGAGATTCCCGAAGTCCTTGAAGTGACTTCACAGAGACGCAAGCGTGTGCCCTGAAGATGAAGATGCGGGCTTCCCGGTATCCAGCAGAGCTGCCACTCTGTCTGTCACTGTCCCTCCCTAACCTCTCTGCCTTCTAGCCAGGGAACAGACTGCACTCTGAATGTAGAAAAGAGTTTTATTTACTTTAGGAAGAAACTGTTGCCTTAGGAGTTCTGGTTTACAAGTCTGTTGCTGTTCTTTCTTATTTTAAAATGTTTGCAATGTGAAATGGGCTGATTAAGTAGAACTTGGAAAATCTAGCAAGAGAGGAAAATTAAATTAACCACATATATTGCTCAGTGGTAACCACTGTTATTTTAGCTCATTTTCTTCCAGTCTTTTTTTATATGTGTTTCTTTGTACACACATGTATCTTTTTTAAATAATCCCTTTATTTCACAGAGTCTACTCCTTTAGACAAATTGGAGTAAAAGATATATATCAGTTTTTACTTTCTCTAGGGAATGAAAGTGAATTTTGTTTACGGAAAAGGTATTAAATAGTTATGGAAAACAGTGGTCAAGGATACTCAGGAAAAGTATCCAAAAAAAAAAAAAAGCTCTCTGAGTATTTTCTAAGTTCTATTTCAAAAGTACTTTGTATCATGTTATATATAAAAATATGAAAAATTGAAATAAAAGAATAATTTTTATTATAAAAGTAGCTTATTTTGTATGAATTGAGAATATACTAGATTAACTAAAAAATATAACTTTTAAGAATTTATCAGTCAATCAGTACCAGAAGGGATAAGTTCTGGTGTCCTATTGCACTGTGAAGAATTGATAATGATAATCTATTATATATTTCAAAAAAAAAGCTAGAAGAAAAAGACTTTCAATGTTTTCACTACAAAAGAATGATGAATGTTTGAGGAGGTAGATATGCTTAGCCTCCTTTGAATATTACACAATGTTCGAATACATGTAACAAAATATCACACAGTTCCTCATAAATATGTACACTTTTGTGTCAATTTTTAAAAAGATTTTGTCAAATTAACCATTATAATTGACACTTTAAAAATAAGTGGACCTGCATACCTTACCCATTCCACATCTTTATAGAACAAAAATTTGTTATATTAAGGATCACAGTAATAATCTCTAGAAAATATCAGAACAGATACACATAACAGCTTTATAGAATTATTGCTGATGGTTACTTAAGTCCATGTTTTAATAGCTGCTTCAATGTGTTCTTTCATATTTCTCTTGACACCAATATAAGGGTGTGTTATGGCTGTGTCTAGACGTTCCAGAAAGCCTCATGTGGACATAGGTGGGGCTTTTTCAGAGGCGGCTAGATCTAGAGTGTGTGATTGATTCATGGTGCAGTGCTAGGATTAAGGGAGCTAGGATTAAGGATGGGTGATTACTAGGTCAGTCCACTGATTGGTTTGGCACCACCCTAAGCCCCGTAGCCTAGATAGGGTATAAAAGGGGCAGCAAAAAGCTGCTAAGGTCACTTGTTGGTTCCCTTGCCTCCTTTGCATCCTTCTGCCCACCATGAACAGTTTCTCCTCTGGGACATCTGTCTGCCATGCCACCCTGCCTTGGAGCCAGCCGATTATGGACTGAAACCTCTACAGACTGTGAACTAAATAAACCTTTCCTCCTCTAACCTTGGGTGTTGGGTATTTTATCTCAGGAATGAGAAAAGTAACTGAGACAGAATTCTCTAGTCATCAACTTGAATTTCAATCTAAAATTATGGAAGATAGAAAAAATAGCATAAGAAAAGTCAACTGACAAAAGAAAAGATCAACTTGTATCACAAACAGGAATTGCCTTATGTAGAGAGTTCTCAAAAATTCAAAGACCAACCCTTCTACCCTGCCTCCCATAGACGACCACATGCAGCCAGGTCACCAGGAAGGAAGAGACCTAGCCCGTGAATATATGAAGAGATGCTCAGTGATGGAATTTTTTCCTCAGCCAGATCTTTAGCAAATCTCTATTATTTCTTGGGAGTTTGAAAAAATAAGTTTTAAAAAAGAACTAGAGGCTAAGTACATTGGTACCTGTCTCTAATCCTAGGTACTTAAGAGGCTGAGGCAGCTACAAGGCAATTTGCCTTGCAAACTGAAGGACAGCATAGGCAGCCGAACAAGACCCTGTCTCAAAATTAAAAAATAAAAGCAGAGCTGAGAGTACAGTGTGGAGCCCTGGGAAGGGAAAGAAAGTGGGGCGCAGAGAGGACTACAGGTTAAATGCTTGAGAATTGGCCTTTCGTAGAATTAAAATTCCCCACCACAAGAAAGAATTCCGTATTTTTTTTTCCATAGTGGAGTGGGTCAGTGAGCAACCTAAATAATAAATATGTGATACCTGTGATTGTAACTGCAAGAAAGCCATTAAATTATTTTTCTATTACATTAGTTACCATGGGAAATACCATATATACTATAGGAATAAAGTGCTACATTTCCAACTTAACTTGTATTAAGTAATTCTGTTAACTTCTGACCTTAAAGTTTTCATCGGAAAAGTAGGGGCTGGACCAAGTGTTTGCCACAGCTATTTCTAGTGGTAATATTTGAACTTTGTTTTTTATTTGACTTTGTTAGTTAAATTCTACGACTCTCAACCTGGGGGCGGTGGTGCAGGCCTGCAACCTCAGCACTCTGGGAGGCTGAGGCTGGAGGGTTGCAAGTTGGAGCCCAACCCGGGCAACTGAGCAACTTACTGAGACATCATTTCAAAATAAAAAATAAAAAAGGGCTGGTGATGTAGTTCAGGGCAAAGGTACTGGGTCAAATCCCCAGAACCACCCAAAGGAAACGTCTATGACCTTTAAATAAAATTTGCTCTATCAAGAGAAAAAAAAGATTTATGTTTCCAAAGTTTCTTATTTACTATAATTTGTAATATTTTATTTTTATGCCTTCCGAAGGCAAAATGAACAAAAGGAATAGTGTTCCATCTGAGAAAGCCCTTGTTTCTGACTGTTGTTTGCAGAGTGCCTGTGTTGGGTGTGCCAAACCACACCCATATTCTTGCAGGTAAATGGGAAGGAAATCAGTCAACAATGAACTGAAAGTCGGTTGGGTGGCACTATGAAAGTACAAACAGAGGCCCATGGTGCTGCTACCCAACTTCTGAAAATCATGACGGAAATATGCTAGCTGAGGTGGCAAAGACTTGCCTAACATCAAACGTCAGAGGCTGGCTATTTAATGCCATTTCCCCACACCCCTCTATAAAGGGTTAAAGGAAGTCTGAATGGCCGCCTAAACCTGGCCCACAAACACACACGGGCATCTTCTGTTCTCTTCTTCTCTTGAACAATTTGACAAAATCTTCAGGGGGAGTGGAAGGAACCACAGCTTTTAATCACCGGCTTCACTCAAAGCTGACTCGACTTCTACCATTACCTCAGGAGTTCATTGTCAACACTCCGCCTTTGAACTCAGCCATGAAAATAATCCCAAACAAGGCTAGGGCACACACAGTAGCTCCGCTTCACAGAGAAGCCTGTAGTACCTGACAGGTGTTTCTAGACGATTCTGAAAGTCTCAGAACTGTCAACCATTGGTCGGTTCCTGCTGAGAAGCAGACTGTTCAGTGCACCTGACACCCGCAGCAGGGCTCATCTCTCCCATACAGCATTTATCAGGTGTTCCCCGGGCACTCACTGTAGATCTTGGCACTGAAACCCGCGAGAGAACTCTGTCCCTGACTCATGGAACCTGTTCAGAAAGCTAGGGGTCAAAGTCCAGAACCTTGCAAACGGAGCCCTACCTGGGTCAAATCGAGATTTTGGAAAAACGCTGTGAAACTCTTTATATTAAGAGTGGCTTGATGAACCACAAGGACAGAGTTTCAATAAAATGGTAATCCTTGAAACTAGGGAACAAACAGTAGCCAAAATATTTCTCCTAACTTGAATGTACTTACAAGGGAAAAAAAAAGAAATCTTCCACGTCTGGAAATAAACGGGCCACGTAATACTTACTGTGGCAGAGACTAGTAAGAGAGTCTGTTTTCACAAACAGTGCTGACACCGAGCGTAGAGCCATCCCGGCTGACTCCGAGTGTTCGCCTCGCCAGTCGTCATCGGGCTTTGTATTCTCCTCAAGACTTTATGCTGTGCACTCAGTGCTTATATGCCCTGCCAAGGGCTTCTAAAGCTGCATTCTGATAACAAGAGGGAATTCCACAGTTTGGTGACCCCAGGAAGTCTTCGGGTCTCCTCAGACACAGACACAAGTGAACTCTTGGAATGCCGGAGGATGCGTCTGCAGTTTGTGTCCTCAGCATCCAGATCCCCACCACTGTCTCATGCACTGGCTCTGTGTAATACAGCTTCGCCCCCATCCTCCGATGATCAGAACCATGTGTATATACAAGGAAGGATACAGTGTAGTTCACAACTATTAAATTATGTATAATTTATAATATAAATGTAAAATATGATTTCAAACGTGAAATACACAAAGAAAATGAATTTTTATGTGTATCAGTACAATACTTCGGTTTAATAAAAGGCATATTCTGATTTGGACTCTCCCTTTTCCACTTACAAATACGTCAAGTTCTCCGACGAATGCTCTTACAATGCCGGCTGCATAGAATTCCATCACATAAAGGTATCTATCATTAATTCCTTAATACTCTTGCTAGACACTTGAGTTTATATTTTTTTCCAAATCTATAAATTTTTGCTCACAACCCTGATTTCTTTGGGATAAACTCGGAGTGGTGCTGGGGCCCAAAAGTCATGTTCACTTTAAGACTTTTGGCATACTGAAAAGTTATGTTAAAAACTAAAACACCGCTGAACTTCCCAATGTGTTCATTCACTGGTTGATGTTTTTATTCTGTGCCAATCTGAGAGAAAGAAAACGTCAAGTTTATGTTTGTTAGCAATGCCAGTTCCGTTGCCTTTTTTTAAAAACTAGTTTTTTTGTTGTTTGTTTTACTTTTTTTAAACCAGGAGAGGCTTACTCAGAGCAGTGCAACTCGGTCTTGGTCAGTCTTCATTTTCCAGCATCGTCTGAGAAACAGTTTCAGGGGTTCCCGCCCCGCCCCGGTTTTTCTTACGCTTGGTCTCCCTCGGGCGAGCGTCTCCCCGCCAGGGGCAGAGCCCGCGCGGTCCCCGGTGCCAGCTGTTAACTGCCTGCCCGCACCCTCTGGGCAGGAGGGGAAGAGCAGATCGAGGGCGAGGCCCGGCCAGGCCCTCGACGTTCCGCAAACTGCGAGAGAAGGAGGCGCCCAAGTTCAGCGAGGAAAGCACAGGCCGCCGCCCCCACGCGCCCAGCGGAGCCAGGCCGGGGACGAGCGGCCCGCAGGAGGAGGCGGAGCCGCCCTGCAGCCCCGCGCCTCTGTTTTCCGGTCGCTGCTTTATTTAACCCGAGCCCGGAAATGGTGGCGAGGCCAGCGTCGCTCGTGCACCCTGCCTGGGTCGCGTGGCGACGCTGCTGGTGGACACCGCGGCCGCCGGGCTGGGCTGCAGAGGACGCGGCCGGAGGGCCGGAGCGCAGGAGCGCGGGGCGACAGCGACGCCAACCGGGTCCGCAGCCCTCGGTCAGCTCCTGTCCCGGACCACCACGCGAGGCCCCGCCCGCCGCGGGCCCGCCCACCACCTCTAGGATTGGTCCAGCCCGGTCCAGGCCCCGCCCTACCACCCGCCTATTGGTCCATTCGCTCTGCCCCGGGACACTTCCGCGGCCCGGCCCCCCTCCCGCCTGCGACCTCCGCGCTCCGTGAGTTTGCGATTGTTGCGAGGGGACCAGCGGGCTCAAAGGGGACCCTGCGCTGCTGGCGCTCAGTCCCGCTCACCTCGGAAGGATGGCGGCGTCTTCCGCGCGGTGCACGGCGCCTCCGCGCCGCGGCGAGGGTGGCGATGCCCCCGGGTGGCGCCCCCCGGGGCCCTGCCTGCTGGCCGCAGTGTTGCTGCTGGCCTCCTGGTCCGGTAGGGCTGGGGCGGGCGGGGCCCGGGAGGCACGGCCGCCGCTGGGAAGCCCGGACCACTGGGGGGTCCGGACGGGCGATTGGTCGGAAGCCACGCTCCCCGGGGCTCTGCCCGCCCCGCGGCGATGGGCGCCATCCCTGGGCCAGGCTCGAGGGCCCTGCGGGGCCTGGGTCTGCAGGCAGGGCCTGGGTCTGCAGGCAGGGCCTCGGGCCTTCCGTAAACCTCTTGTAGCCCGAGGCAGAACTGGCCCTGCTGTACCCGTAGTCTCTGTTTCTTTTCCGTCTGTCCACGACGTTGTCTTCCCCTTCCCAACGGTACAGACAGGGTCTGATTCCGCCTAAAGGCTTTTGACAGTTTCTCCCTTTTCGTTAAGACGTAATTGAAAGAAGCAACCTAGAAATCATTGGTAATCAAGCCTGCTGAGATACTGTATCCTAAAAAGGCCTGATAAATAATATTAGCCTGGTTTTCACCTACAGATCATACAGTAAGGTTTGTTTTATGTTTCACTGAATGGATACTTTTTAAATGCTTTAGAATACATCCTTGTGGGATAAAACTTACAAAAGGCCGACCATTTCATACGTCCTGTATTGCTGGGTTTCTAGGCCTTGCTGTGCGTAGGATCCTTTAAGGTGCATCTCTTTCCTTAGCATCCTCCACTCAGTAGTATTCGCCTTCCACATCCCAGGTCCTGGGCATGTAGTGCTAAGTATAAGAGACCATCCCTCCTTTCACTGTTTACATACACACATGCGCATAAATATAGTAAGTGAGGACTTTATTTTGATCACAGATAACCCCAGGGCCTGATGGATAGTAAACAATCTAAATATTTGCTAAGATTTACTGGCAGATATTGATAAATCATAATGTTAACCAATTTATTGCAAAGCAAGAGGACTGAATGGAGGACTGCATTTGACAGCTGGGGGCGGGGCAGGGCAGCTCTCCAGCAGCAAGGGCATCTCCCAGTTCCCTAGGCCTCCCTTGGAGGATTTTCCTTTCCCTCACTACACAATGGGCTGTTTGATCCCCCAGCCGCATCTGGGGTGTCAGCTGCTTAGGGAGACCTCCTCCCACCACCCTAGCTCACACCCCCCTACCTAAACCAGCTGTTCTCTACCTCTCTCCTTTTTAAGGCAGAGATTTTGTCTGTTGGGTCACACTTTTGGTTCCAAATGGCCTATTTTTAGCCTCCAGATCAACACCTTTGTTAAGTACCAGAGAAGTGTCATATTTGCCCTGGGCAATTCCTCCCACTTCCAGGAGGAAAGTTCTTTAAAGAGCCATGCCCAGGCAGCCTTTCTGTGTTGCTAAGGTAGGGTCAGTTAATGCCAGTATACTCCCCAGGACTCCTAGTACTCCAGGCTTGCTTCTTAGTGCTTATGAAGCAGTTCACTTCTACAGGGGGTAATAGGGCCCGGTGTGGTGGCGCATGTCTATAATTAGCACTTGGGAGGCTGAGGCAAGAGGATTGCCACAAGTTCAAGCCCAGCCTGGGCTACGTAGGGAGACTGTGTCTCAAAAAACAAAACAAAACAAAACAAAAAAACAAAGAGGGAATAGGGATAGGGAGCAGGGGTAAAAGATAAAGTCAAGAGAGATATGAAACCTAGAAAAAGCAAGGCTGAGAACTCAGTGCACTAGGCAGGAGAATAGGTAGATAAAGTAAGCGTTTCATTTTCACAGCAGCTTCCTTTCATGAGGAGAAGGTTTTGTCGGCAGACAGTGCTGGGCATGGGAGGCCTGCCCTCTCCACAGGGGCTGCCAGATGATCTGAGGTCACAGAGGGACTTTAGTCAAATTGTGAAACCAATCTCACCCCTCCAGAGTGAGGCTGCTTTTTTGGACAAAGTCCACAGTCGTCCTCATCTCGTATTACGAATGGTCTCGTCTGTCAGTTTTAGGTCTTTTTCTTCTTTCTTTAAACCAACATCACAAATGCTTATGTGGCATCTCAGCGTCCTTACTCCGCATGCAAAGGGTGCAGTTTATGTGGTTAATTTTTGGGTTTCTAGAATACTGGGAGACAGGAAATTAAAGAAGTGGCTAGCTCTCCCTGCGCCAGTGCATAAAGCTTTAAGAAATTCTCTTCAGTATGAGATTCATGACAGCATAGTCTCCATCATTGGTCTGTGCCCGACGACAGTGGTGCTTTAACACGTTTTGGGACCAGCTCCTCTAAGGGGGACGCTGTAGGAGGAGCGTGGTCACGGGGTGCATGGAGTCAGCCGTATGAGCTGTGAAGCACGGAAGGGGTGGTAGTTACCTGAGAAATGCATGCTGGGAGAGCCCAGGGGAAGGCAGAGATGAGGGGTGGATTGAGCCTAGGGAGCGAGAGTTGAGCAGCAGTTTTGGCCCCTCAGGAGGAGGGGTGCTCAGAGCAAGGAGTGAGAGTCAAGGTGCCCAGATGAGCCACAGCTGGACTGCAAGCTGTCACACCGTGGAGCAAGCAAAGGAGGCAAGAAAAGGGGAGAGGGCCGGACTGCAGTGAGTATCTGCGAGAGGAAGGAGGCTCCTTAGGGGCTGACAAGCAGTCACCACCTGAAATCCCACCAGAAATTCAGGCTGTGAGGTCATCAGTTGTCCACACAGGGGACGATGGGCTCTTTGTTTGCCTTAGGTGTGCACCTGCATGAGGTTGCTTTAATTTCTCCAGGCACCAAAGAAGTCTATTTCTTGACCACTGAGGTACAGAGAGAAGGAGTAAAGTGGCGTCAGCTGTGGGCTGCAGCTGGTCCTGGGGAGAGTGGTGGTGGTGGTGGTGGTGGTGGACCACGCGCCCGGGAGCCAGGTGGCCTGGCTGGACCCTTGGCTCTGCGTGTGCTTAGGATGTCTTTTCAAGCAAGTCACTGCAGCTTGTGATACCTCGCAGAGGGAGGGAAACTACCTATCCCGGAGGATGGTTATGGAGACTAGCGAAGACACAACTCTCGACACAGGGAGTGCTCGCTGAGTGTGTGTCTGGAGTTCACCTTTGAGGATATTAAAATACCATTTCTAATAACAGCAGCAGTGGGGAGTGGGTTCACAGTAAACTAGCAAAGTGTAAATATTTTGACATGAAAGAAAGAAAATTTCTGATGAATGGGAAAAGCTTGTAACTAACTGAATGAAAATTTTTCGAAGACTGGCATCGATATAACCAAGAGGAAAATTCTGATTCACTGATGTCTTGGACATAAATTGGCTGAACAGTAAAGAGTTTGAATAATGATCTGTGAGTGGATAGAGCTGGTAACAACCTACTCAGCCGTGCCACTGGGTCCTAGAGATGCATGCCAACAGGGTCCTCAGGAGGGCACAGTCCCGTCCTGTCCCGTGTGGGTCTAAACAACCGAGTACAACAGAAAGCTTGCTGCAAAAGGAGCATGTCAGGGCCGCATGAGGACACACGGCCCAAGGTCTAAAGTGAGCAATGGCAAGAAGCTTGCCGGAAGAAGTGCCGCGGGAGGGATGGCTCTGGTCCCGCCAAAATGATGCCTGCAGGCCGGGGACGCTGAAATGCACAGCCAGACAAGGCCCTGCAGTTACCCGAGTATGGCTCGGGAGAAAGTGCCAGTGTGGGCCGCGGCGGGGAGCAAGGGACTTTAAAGGCCGGTCTTCATATCAAGGGGCCTGGGGGTGACGCTGAGGGGCTGCAGAGCTACTGAGGTGTCTGTCTAATCACGCCTGGATTACTGCAGTACATGGAGTACGCGGTCAAAGTGTGAAAATGAATTCGGTGATTGATCGGTCGGTGCAAGGTGAATAGGCCCGTAAGGAGACCAACTTGGGAACACTGGCAGCAGTTCAGATGAGAAACCAGAGGGACGAACGGCGCAAGCCGGGCAGGCTGAACAGGCCTCTCGGCGAGGGAGACAGGACTGGCTCCTTGGGTGTGTGCGCAGCGGAGCTTGCCC